TGAATAAGAAATTTAAAAAAAGAGTTAAAGAAAGCTATAGAAGCACGATCTACTATACATGCAAGGTGAATTTACAAGGAATGTAGTGAATTTATTTATGCACAAAAGGAAAGCTATTTTCCATAGGCATAATTATCTTTCTATTAATAACTCTTTTTAATAAGAATGTGTTCAACATTCGACAATAATGTCGAAATTGAAACTTACACTCAAGTGTTCATTTCAAGTGTTCACCTCATTTATTCAAGTATTTGATAATTTACTTTTAAGCTTCAAGTTCGACATGCATGATATAAGCAGACACAAAGACAAAAGATTTATTTATCGTGCACTGGTCCAGATAACTAGTTATCATGTTTTGGATTCGATTTCCGATTGAAGCATATCTTTTATTTTCTCTTGGTTTATCGAAAGTCAAAGAATGTAAAAATTTACTATTGTATTAAACATTACATATACTCATTTTCTATCCTTTGAATCTTGAAAGTTTAATTGAAATTATTCTATTCATTTATTCTAATTACACAGGAGAAAAAATTTTAAAACAAAGGTCATGTTGAATGTTAAAACCTGGAGATAATACAATTTTTCTTTAAGAATTATACAGTTATAACAGCAAAAAAAGTGACACGTTAACAAACAAGAGAGAAGTAGAAGAAAAACGGCCTTTTGTGAGTTAGATTCTTCCTTTATATTGTATTAGCCTATTCTTTTGTATGTTCATAACAGATGTATCAATACATGTAGCTTTTTCAGATCTGTCTCTGTAACTGACACTAACTTTCATGACATGATTTTTCATTAAAAAAAAGATAGATGTTTAGTTTTTGGGAATTTGTTGGCTAAATGAAATTGTTAACTCAAGTAAAAATAATCTTGTTTACTCGAGTTCTCTTAGATTGATGGAATATTTTACTTCTTACTACTGTATGTGTGTAGAATGATTATAAATGAAATTGCTTTCGACATGGATCAGAAAAAAAAGAAATATTTAAATAAACTAATATCGATATTGTGAACTATAATATGTTAATATGTAGTTTTCTTAATGTTCAAGTCAATTGATTCTGTCTCTTTTGGATATGCGTTTTTAAAAAGAAAACTAATCTATTCAATAGATACATGCATGAAATTGACAGTGTTCTTCCACTTATTCTAAAAAGTTTGGTTTTTTTTATCCTTTCGATTGGCAATCATTTTAAACGATTCTATATTATGTATCCTTAAAACATGTTACATCATGTAGGTTTTGTTCTATGTGTTTTTTTTGTCTTCTAGTTATTTTATTATTATTAGTATCTATTTTTAAAAATATTTCATATAGTAACTATATACTAAGGTTATGATTCTTATTGAGATTAACTGATATAAAACTACTGTAGAAAAAGAATATATGTTGATGGCGATCTAATGTGTATGTTTAGAGAAAGTAGTGTTTGGAAAAATTCAATCACAGCTTCTACCTATTTTAATAAGCAAGCTGAGTAAGGCAAAATAAGAGAGAAAAAATAAAATGCTTCTACTCAATAGAATTAGAACGAGTATTTAGAAGGAAAAAACAAATAAAACATCATTTGATTAAAGGTATCCTTTAAACATAAAAGACTAGTTTTACATTCGATAGAATATACATGCATAAATCAATTTTTTCTCTGTTTTCTTTATCTCTTATAATAAAATAATTCAATATGTAGTTCATGTTTGCACAAGTAGATATTTCTTTTTGTCGTCTATAAAATTATCTTATTGTCATTGAAAAACGACCAAAATACAATATGTTTAGATTGATAAAAGAAAACTGTTAATAGTTGTGATATTTTTTTCCTCATCATTATATTATATTTCAAATGAAACATCAATTGATAATAGAAATTTTACAAATAATGATACTGTAGATATATTTATTGTTATATCAGTATGGATTGTTTTAATAATTACAATTGTTATTGATACAATAGAAAATATTCTTGTACTTTACGTTCATATTAATCGAAATGATAATAAAATATCGATTTTTTTTTAATTAAAAACTTAGTTTTTGTTGATTTAATCATATGTTTAATTCTGACATCATCAGAATCATATCAAACAACAACATGTTTAATTCATAAAAAATATTCTCTTTGTCAACGCATTTTTTATTTGTTAGAATTTAAAAAAAAAAGAAGAAACTCGTGATTTTTATGAAATTAGGAAAATAAATCATCTTATGTTTGACAAAGATCAAAGTGATCAATTTTTTTTCATATTGATATTTTAGTTTTCTTCCATAACAGATCTGAAAAAAAAGTTAGGCTTACCATCAACTTGTTGTTATAGAAAAGAACTTCCCGACAAAGAAAATTCATGTGAAAGGTTGTGTAGGAACTACTTTTAGGAAAGTAGGACTAATTAGTTAGCAAAAAAGCGACAAAGGTCAGAAGTTAATAAAGATCTTAACTGATAACGATAATTATTTCAATACTTTATTAAAGAATTTACTTTTTATTATTGAATATAGAATTAGTTAGATAAAACAGGCGATTATGAAAACATCAAAAGCAGCAGAAAATAAAGCAGACCGTGATACTAAATGTATTGTACGAAAGTTTTAAAAATCACTTATATGAAAGTTTTGAAATGAATGAGTTAGCACTTAATATTTTAGACGTAAGTCAATTCTGAAATCTTGGAGTTTTTATAAGAAGGTAGTCCACCGATAATAAGGTCACGACCTACTGCGCATCTTCTATTGGTTCATTGACGAGTCAGCCTTCGACCACTATGCGGTTAGACGTCCTGATCTCATGAACAATAGTAGCTGCCCATTCACTGTATCATCTATTTATTTGTACACCGAGGATAATAGTGATAATGCTAATCCTCTAGTTTCTCAAGGTTGATCAACAATAAAATAAATATTGCAGTAGTAGAGCAAAGAAACAAAATATTTAGTATCTAGAAGATAACATTTAATAATTTCTTATATTCATATTAGGTATTCATAATGAATTAATGTATAACATTTATGGTTTGTTTTTTAAACACTTATGTATTCTATTCACTATTTCTTATCACAACAAGTGGATTCTATAGATGTTTATGTATATGTTGACCATTGTATAAAATCATAACTATCTATCGTGCACGCGCTGTTATTGCTACATCTAGTATTTTATCATCTTTATTGGAAAAGATTCCTTTTTTTTTGTTTTGAATAAATAAAAACTAGATCTTATTTTTCTTTTAATCAATTAAACCAATGAATGAATATTGAACAATGGACTATATATTACATTCATAATAATCATTCAGAACATTTGTCAGTTGAAACTTTTGATGAAGATGATTTTCCAATTTATATACATGTTAAAAATATAACAACAAGTATTTCAATATTATATTTTACGATTGGTAATGCAACACATGTCAAATGTAATTCAAGATTTAGTTAACATTAGTTAACAGAACGAATAACAATACTTTCTATAAAAAAATAAGTGTTCAGAATTATTTCATTATACTTTTCACTTACGCGGTTCTCAATCTTGTATGAACCAACACAACAAATATACTGAACGACGTTTTAGAACTGTATCTCTTTTGTAATAGACGAGATTCGCTCGTAGTTTGATGGTGAGGGTCAGTTGATAAAAGCTCGAACTTCATATGAGTACCACATTTAGAAATGAAAACTGTTCAGCGGTATTAAAATTGGAGAAAAAGGGTTTCCTACCATTTCGTTTCTTGCTTTTTTTCTACATGCACTGAATCGATGATGTTTGATGTGGAGAATTTAGCTCCTCAAAAGCAACTTTTAAATACTGGGATATGAATAGCCTACCAATATTTAGTAAGCAGTAGTGCAATACAGTGAACAAAAAAATTTGAAAGGACATTTTAGCGCTTTTCATTGTGTATATCTCAAACAGGGTTTTATTTTCTCACTTGTCGGGCTATTTTCATCGATCAGATTGCCTTGCAGGGTGTTCCACTAGAACAGTTGATTCATAATTTCGAGCAATTGTATAACACGAATATACAAACGTTGAATATCGTTATAAAGATTATTTTAATATTTATCAACACGATTAGCAAATAGCCTTTTATAAACTATCAGAAAATGGTAGATCACTTTTTATCGACTTTGACCTTTGTCGAAACTCAAGCTTATCAATAATTTTTTTTATCAGAATCAAAATATTGAAAATAGAAAAACTTTAGTTTACAAAATTTTTTTAATATTTATCACATAGATTAATAATGAAGTTGGTAATGAGATGTCGTTTTCTTGAATAAAGCCAGATATTTTATCATTTATGATGAAAGTTTTCTAGCAGTATAAAGTATCCATTAATCATCATTAGACCGCTCAACATTTTTTTTGTTTGCAAAAATCTAACGAGTTGATAGAATAGATTTTATCCTAATCCTGATTGAATTCGATCACGAATTTAAAAAGAAAGAAACCATTTCAATCTTCTGAAAGTAAAATTTATTTGATGAAAGAATTCTTTATCTGCAAAAAAAAAAACTAATACGTTTCTTTTAATAACAAACAATTATGAGTATAATATGACTTTATATACGAAATTATTGAAAATTAGTGAGAATAATTCATAAATTGATCATACGAGTTTTTATAATGTTTTCATAAGAACTACATTTATTACCTAAAGTGCTAAGAGCATCTTAGACCATCATGCAAAAGTAAAACGAAGTCGTATGTCATATACAAATTGATTTGATTTATATCTATCTAATGGATGATTTGATACGAAAAAGTAATTATACTAGTTATTTGAATTTTTCAACGATATTGACTCGACAACATCTAATAACAATCTGAGTTATAGATGAATAAAACTACTGTGAGAGAATATAAATTTATTATTAAACTACATCAGTATATTTTTCTGAAACTCATTTTTTTGTAATAATAAAATGCATTAATATACACTACAAAGCTGAATAACTAATTAGATAAAATTTCTAGTCTATTAATAAAGCAAATGTCAATTTCAAGCAGTTGCATTTTGAATATGTTGAAGAACATTTTCAGAAAATTTTAATCGATTTTGTTTATTGAACATATGACCAGAGTCTTCCATTACCACTGTTTTTGCATTGAGTAAATCAGCTAATTCTTGTTGTTTTTTAGGTGGTAAAAGTTTATCTTGCATGGCTATTTGTACTGTCACCGGTATGTGTGCATCTTTGATCTGTTGTGCATGTTCATCCGTTAAATAATGCGATTGAAAAATAACATTCTGTTGTGAACATCCATCAATATCTCGAAATATAAACCATTTGTCACAATCATTTAACCATTTTTTAATAAGTTCCTCCATTTCTTCTTCCGCTATTCCATTAAATACTAATGGTATCATTGAACGTAGCATTTGTTCATTATCTGGTTTCATCGCGAAATAAGGCAGTATTATTCGAGAAAAAACCCATCTTGGTAATAATGCCAACAATCGAATATAAGAACCTAGATAGATAAACATAAGATCATTGTTTTCAAATATTAATTCAATATTTCGAAAGAAAGTACGAAATATATAATAGTGAAGAAAAGAAAAACTGCTTAAATCAGTATAAGAAAGCTATTGGAGAAGTTCAATATAATCATCAAGAAATCTTTGATGGCTGCACATTGAAAGTTTTTTGACAAAATGTGGTAAGAGGCTGACTTTTTTTTTTGTGTTTTTGTCATATTTTGTGATAATCAATAATACTCTTATAAGCTTTTGTAATTTATGACAAAGATGAAGTCAACTGATATTTTTAAAATTGAATCGGATTAGATTGATCAGTTTTTTTTCACGATTATGAATTTTAGAAATTAAACTTCAAATTTATGATCAGAATTTTTTTCATGTATTTACAAATCAGTCTCTTATCACTTCTGCAACTATTGGAACTGAATCAAAAAAGCTATCAAATATCTGCTTACCACGAATTGTAATTCCCAGATAAAGCGATAAAAGACGTTGTTCGGGTATTAATAGCACAGCTAATTCTTGTGCTACCATTCCACCTAAACTCACACCTAAGACATGAACTGGAGCTTGACTACCCCATACATGGTTAATTAATTGATAAGCATCACGAGCTAATAGACTTGATGTTTGTCGTTCTGATGTGACAATTGTTGTTGGTGTTTTTGAGTGACCAATTCCACGATGATCATAAGTCAATATTTCTATTGATGATGGATAATGTTCAATAAGATATTCGACTTGTTCATCGAAATGTCTTAATGTTGCATATGCACCCATAATCATTATAATTTTTGTTGATAAATTTGATGATGAGGATGATGAACAACGAAGTTCATAATATATCTTCATGTCGGATGTTAATGAAAAATAATCCTTTTTTATTGACATATTGCTTATATTTTGTATTTGAGAAAAGAAAGAGTATTGCTACAATAATAACATAAATACATTTTTTACTTTTTCTCTATGTAATAGACTACTCATTTATATATATGGGAAAGGAACAAAAAATAGAATACATAAAGAACGAAAAATATAAAACGATCCGGTCTTTTCGACTTGTATAATATTGTGAAAGGAAGTAAAAACATTCTTTTTGAGAGTTCTTAAAAACTGTATATTTACAACATCGAATATGGCAAGAAGAAAGAAAAACAAGAACTATCATATTCTGAATCATCGTTTTGTTTTTTTCTTTCAGCTGGCCGTACGAAGGGAACCAAACACAAATACGACAGTTGAAGAATTGTTGCTTACTTCATATAAACGATAAGAACCAATGAAAATGCAAATCCTTATTTTACCGTAGTCCACGTATGTCCTTTCTTCTTTCATTTGATCGGTGACTATAGCAGATGCAATAGAGAGAGAGAAATTGTGTTTCAACCTTTCGAATTCTTTTCCATTATTTTCATTATGATCTTTCATTGCAATATTTTAGTTTTTGTATTCATAACATAGTAAGAATTTTTCTTTTAATTTATTTAAGTCGACTCTAACTCTATCGATCTAGTTTTTTTTTCAATAATTATTAATTGATAATATATTCTGAGTACCTGTTACTACTTGATCCATGAATCTATGAAAAAAGTTTTAAAAACAAAAGTACTATTGTTATTCGAGTAGAACAAAAATCGAAAAGATAATTTACGAAATCTAATAATCTTGCAAATATTTCGTCTCTCTTTCAATCTTTTTCTAATATGAGTCTTGAATAGAATCAGCAGATTAACATGTGATATTTTTTGTGAACTTCCTAGAAATTCGTTTAAATACAGGTATCGGAGATGCAGAGATATATACAGATATAGGGAAAGAATGATGGCGAAACACATTGTAATGCTCCCGGTTAAGTGCGTATTATGCATGAAGTTTGACCTATCCTAATTATTCCTTCTCGTCTTATGTATTGTCCTTATCTTTCTGTCATTACTTCCTACATCATGTTGCACTTTATCCTTCTCTTCCTTTCTTCTATCTGATGAACGAGTATATAAGTGTATGCTTTGTATGGAAACGATGCGATTCTTGAGAAGAAGAATATAATAAAGTGTAATTCTACCAGTGCTAACACTTCTTCCATCGGAAATCGTCACACTTTCTTCTTGTTTATGACATAAAACCATTGGAAAATCTGTCTGGACCAGTATCAGCTATTTTCATATTCCCAATTTACGCATCTATAAGAATAAAATGTTTTGTTTTTCATCAAAAAACACCGTGAATATTTCTGCATCGGATAAGAGGATGGTTTAAACATTTATGTAAGAAAGCTAATAACACGGTTTAGAAAATCGGTCTGGAAAGTTATGGAAAACAGTCTCGTGTATATACATTATACTTTGCACTTTGTGCAGAACAATAGTTATTGGACTTTTTCGCATCATCATGTGTTCTTTGAACGTCAAATAAACGTGCGCTGATATACGAAAAGAAAAACGAGAAAAGTCTCGTTCTGCATGATTGGGAGGATAGATTAATTTTACGATTCGATTTCTCAGCATCTTAGATAATGGTTAGATGACTGAAAGCAGATAATGCAACTAAAAAACTCAATTTAGTCTGCTTAGAATTTATGAAACAAAAAAAATATTTAGCTAAATATCTAATAAAAAATTTCTATCCTATTCTAAACGATATTATTTGACAGAGAACTCAATAAGCTTAACAACAGTGCCATATCCCTATCTTGTACAACTCGCATTCGACGAATAAATATATAATTGATCTAGTACGATGAAATCTTTTCTACCTTCAAAGTAAGTTGCGGAAGAGCTTTCGATGTTTTCCGTTTAAAACTTTTTCTAGTCTTTGAAGAAAATATTCAATTGAGTTCTATGATGTATTTTTTCACTAGATACTTTACTCTTTTTAACAAAAAAACAATGAAATCACTTCGAGGGTGTGAAGATATGGTTGTGAGGTATTGGTGTAGGTTTGGCTTTAGTTTTATATTCTTTCCGGCACACCCATACTCTTATTTAATAACAGCGGTGTCTTCGCTCATTTCCGTTAATATTTATTTCGATTTTCCGCTTTATCAGTGAAATGTGAAATACATTTGTGTTGTGGTAGTTTGTCTCACTCTCGAATAGTGATAGTCTACTTTTAAAGTAGATTCTTTGTACTATGTATTAGATTAAATCGATCTGATATACTAGTATTTGCCACTCGAAAGGCATCCTGCTTGCCAGCAAGCCGAAGTTAAAAAGAAAAGTATCGTCGACCACTTGTTCTCTTTCCTCACTGCTGCTTGCACCACATACTATTTTTCTTTTTACTCAGAGATCCATACTCAAGTTACACAGTACAGGTAGAAAATGAATATTGTTTTTTTTACATTTAGATTCATATCGGTCACGTGTAGATGGTAAGTTACATAGTACAGAAAGCCAATGAATGTTGTTTTTTTTTAACATTCAGATTCATATCGATTACATATAGATGGTATGTTACATATTACGAAGAAAAATTGGATATTTTCTTTTTTTTTTTATCTACTTAGCTTTATATCGATGAAGCATAAATGGTAATGTGTATGAAAAATAATAAACTACTTCTGTGTGCATTTTAGTTCTTCTCTTCGCGCCGTTCTAAACAAACTCACTACTCATATTGCCATTAAGGTTCTTGTGAACTCGAAAACCTGTAAATCGTTTCTAAGATTAGCATCCCATGTAAAAAAAAAAGTGAAAAAAAATCATTTTGACGTACTTTTAATATTAATAAAATAAAAAAAGTAACTTTTTCTTACTATTTTTCACTTTTTCTAGTGAACTTCAGTACGTTTCTTACTTTCAGAATTACTTAATAGTACTTTCTGGATATCCGAAATATTTTATGTTACTTTTTATAGTTTTCAAAATACTGAATAGTACTTTTAGAATTTATAAAGTATTGAATATTAATTTTCAAACTTTTCAAAGTACTTTATAGTATTTTTTGCATTTGTGGAATATTTAATATTTATTTTTATATTTTTCAAAGTACTTAATAGTACTCTTAGAATATAAAGAAGTATTTGATAGAACTTTCTGTACTAGACAATTAAATTATAATGGTTGCTCATTTTCGACTTTTAGATAAATAGAAATCGTACGAAGTATTATGAATTAAATACTACTTTAAGGACATTCAAGTAGTTTTTGAACGCAGTAGATGTCTTGCGTACTTAAAATCTATAGGTACATAAGAGCATTCTATAGAGATCATTAGGGCTGTAGTTATTTAATACGATATATAACGCGCGATAGCATTAGTCAGTTATAGTAGTGAATGGCAGTTTCCCTCTTGTAGATATTTCCCGTTCAAAACACTGAAATGCTATAAACAAATATTTTTCTGATTCGTGAAGTGTTTGCTTTAGATAAAATTGAGGTAAAATTTGTTTAAATGAAAAAGATTATAATATCATAAAGTTGAAAATCCAACATTTTATATGAATTATCATGTAGCTTCATCTGATAAATTATTAGCTGCCATTAGTGTCTTATTAGATTTGTTTTCCAACACATAACAAAAAGCAATGTATGCTTGATATAATAGAACTTTTAATGTCTATAAATAATGACGGTGCCGCATGTTTATTTCTACAGAGAACTTGTTCGAAATGACAATGGAAAAATAATAAAACACGGTTAATAACTAAAATCTTTTTTATATCCAAAATGAATTTAATAGCAGAAAGTACTTAATGGCTAGAATTTCATCTTATGCATCTTCCTCTCTTTAACAAAAACCTAAATTGTACAGTTTTAAGTCAAGAAAATTACGAGTATGATGTTTATGTAGAGCTCGAATAATGATTGGTACACTGTCTGAGTAGAGCGCGAAAAGTTACAGAATTAGCGTTTCTCAGGCTGGCGTATAGGCGCACATGCAACAGTCAAGTTGGTCTACATACTAATTGATGTATGAGGATTGAGGAGTATAAATGCACGATGTTCGAATCATTTCGCTTCATTTGATCGAGACATGTGGTTCGACGTAAGTACTTTTAAGTATTTTTTTAAATAATATTATTTAGTGCTATATAACTTTTATATTCCGAAGTGTAATGTAATACCTTTTTGATAAAAAACTTCGTTTGAAATTATACAGATACCGTTATAGGAAGGATAATGGAGACTAAGGAACTAATATAGTGAGCTGAGACAGAGTTTTAAGTACGCATTACCTTTTTACATTAGCTGCATCGATACATTCGAAGTATATCATAGTAATTAGTTGCCGAGTCATGAATATAGATGTATAGAAACATGTACGAATGCCCATTTACGGTTGTATAAATTGGTTGGAGTCGCCACTGCTGTTGATGCCATTCTATACATGTATTAACATGTTGTCAAATCATGGAAGCAAAGCAAGGTTTTCTAGTTTTGTATGTTTATGAAAAGAACTTTAATATTCACAGTAATAGACCGAGAGATGGTATTTCTTTGTTTGGATACAGATCTACCGAAATACATATATATAGAAAGTATTATTTATATTGTGACTTATAGGAAAAGCTTACAAAAAGGAGCGATGAAGTCGTGTGCTTGAGAGAGATAGCGAAATGTTAGTAAAATCCGCTATAATCACAGTCTCTCGTTGTCGATGCAGTTTGGTCTACGATCTATTCCGATAAATACAAGTGTGAAAATTACATCTACAGACATTCATTGCTATACAATATTCTATAATAGTATGAGAACACAAATCAATGACTCTTTACAACCATTCACTCACATCTACGATTAGTCGTTATTATTTATTTTTCATTTTACTCTTTTTTCTTCTTTCACATCTCACTGGGGTCTGCCTTATACACAGAGTCCAAATTCAAAAACAATTGGACATTTGAAAAT